GGAGCTCTGCTGAGACCCGGCTCTGCGCGCCCAGGGGCGGCCCATGTCCCCCGCGCTCCCCACTACGCTGCCGCAGCCAGGTCGCATCTGGACGGGGCGCCGCGCGGCGGGGCCGACGCCGGGTGAGCATAGACCAGGCCAGTGGGTCCCGGGCGGGGAATGTGCCTGGCTGAGTCGTGGGGCCGGCTGGGGTGAGGGGGTTCCCTGCTTCTCTGTCTCCTTGCCGAGCGCTCTGCTGCCCTGGCTGCTTAGTTAGGGGCGAGGGCGGTTCGCAGTGACCTGGGACGGGGGCCCGAGGGATGTGGCATCCTCTTCCCTTCGTCCCATCCCCCAGCCTTCCGGGACGGGTTTCTGTTCTCTGCCCTGGCCGGCTCTGGGAGCCCAGAGATCTGAGGACCTTAGAGACTTTGGCACTGGATATGGGAGCGCTGGTTTGGTACCCCCCCCCGGCTTTTGCTTTTTGTGTGGAGAAGGGGGGCGGGGGGGCGGAGATGGTCTGTAAGGCCTCCCTGTGGTCCAGACCATGTCTTTATCCTGGCTTGGAGACTGTCAGGCTGCATCACAGCCATGACCTTCAGCTCCTCCCCAGGAATAGGAGAACCCCGAAAGAAAACTGAGTCCTATCTGCTGTCTCTTGAGCAAGTCCCTAAAGCGCCAGGAGTAGAGACCAAGAGTCCTAATCTCAGTCCGTTCAGCCATTCCCCTTCCTGTATAGCCCAATCCCCAAAGATTCATCTGAGTGGCTTGCTGAGTGTGTTTGTAGGGGGTGACTTCAGGGCCCTCCTGGGCTCCCTCAACACCTTTCCCTTTTAGGCAGTCACCTCTCAGGCACCTCCAGGCTCTAAACCGTTTGCTCTGTCGCCCTCTGTGGGCCAGCAGATACATGGCACTGTCCGAGTTTGTGAGCTGGGTCAGAGCCAGGCCCCTTCCCAGGAAACTGCCCCTTTGGGTATTGTGGCTTGGCCTGGTCATCCAAAGACCCAAGGAGGTTCTTTGGATGAGGAATCAAGCCAGACACGCTTAAGTTAATACCCCTCTCCAAGCCATTTTGGTTAGAGATCCTGGATGTCAGGAGAGTGGACTGTCCTGTTTTGGCTGGAAGGGCTTCAGAGAGCAATTCCCACTACACCCATAATATAGACGGGGAGACTAAGGCCTAAAGTAGGAAAGGAACTAATCCAAGGTCACAGGGAGAGTTGGAGGAGGAGATGGGACTAAGGGGCTAGAACTCAGCCTCTGCCTCTTAGCCATGGAACTCCTCATCTCAAGTCCCAAGCGTCTAGCCTGTCCCTTGAAGACAGCCCTGGAAAGGGACCGCATTCTCAGGTACCACTCAGTATGACTAATCCTCACTACAGGTTGACCCTTGGGATCATAGTGGCTGCCTGGGCCTGGAGGTAGGGGACATAGACATTTGGCTCCACTGACTGCTCTGTGTCCACAGGCCACAATGCTGCTCGGGGCATCCTTGGTGGGGGTGCTGTTGTTCTCCAAGCTGGTGCTGAAACTGCCTTGGATCCAAGTGGGGTTCTCCCTGCTGTTCCTCTACCTGGGGTCCGGAGGTTGGCGCTTTGTTCGAATCTTTGTCAAGACCATAAGGCGTGATATCTTGTGAGTATCTGGTCCAGTCCATCCAGCCCTGATTCTCCTATAACACGATGGGCTCCTAATTCCCAGAATCTCTCCAGATTAGGCCTCTACGAGCACAGGGCCCCTGGGCCCCAGAGGAGCAGCCTCTGCTTTATCCCCTTCCGCTGGCAGTAGTACCTGGTATCTCCATCTCCAAGGTGAAAGTCTTCTCCTAGGAGATCTCCGTAACTTGGTGCCGTTTAGCCTAGGGCAGATTTAGGGGCCCAGGACATACACTGAACACCAGGTGTGTCAAGAAGACATCTGCAAAGGGTCCTAAGGCTAAGCAGTAGCTTGTAAGAAAATGAAGAGGAACTCTGTGGGAAGGGCCCTGTCCATAAGTCTGAGCGGGCACAGAGTTCAGAGCAGGGCCCCGAATCAGGTATCTGGGAAACCTGCTCCCCAAAGAAAGTCAGCTACTGTTCACAGGGCTCTCCTGTACCAGAAACACCTGCTGCTACCTGCTCTGTGTCAGGCGTCAGGTTGGCTCTGGGGCCCAGGGAGGAAGAAGGCTGACCTAGTCCTGGGCCCAGCTCAGACTGGTCGGGGAGATAAGCAGGAGATACAGTAAATCCCTAAACTAACAATACCAGCGGGCAGAGACCCTGGCAGTCTTGCTCACGGTGGTGTCCCAGTGCTCAGCACAGTGACCCGCACTCAGAACAGGCAGCTCAGCACCTGTCATCTGAATTGATTGTAAAAGGAGGTGCTGAGTGGCCACTGCAGGAAGAGTGGTAGCAGAGAGCTGTGGGAGTGTGGGGCAGGGAGATGGCATCAGGCCAGGACCTTGGGGAATCAGAGACCACCTGGAAGACAAAAAGCTGTGGTTGAGAGGCATCTCCAGGTGATGGGAGCAGGGGATTCCAGCCAGAGGGCACAGCATCTGAATAGGCATAGAAATCAGGGAGCTAGAAGCTTTCAAAGGTCAGAGGGGCCAGGGGCAGGGCAGGAAAGGGGGATACTGCCAAGTGATTTTTTTAAAATTATTTTTTATTTATTTTTTAATTTAAATTCAGTTAATTAACACACAACGTATTATTTGTTTAAGCGGTACAGGTCTGTCATTCATTGGTCTTATGTAATACCCAGTGCTCATTACAACACGTACCCTCCCCACTCCGCAATGTCCATTATCCGATTACCCCATCTCCCGACCCCCCTCCCCTCCAACATCCTTCAGTTTGTTTCCTAAGATTAAGAGTCTTTTATTTATTTATTTATTTGAGAGAGAGAATGAGATAGAGAGAGAGAGCATGAGAGGGGGGAGGGTCAGAGGGAGAAGCAGACTCCCTGCTGAGCAGGGAGCCCGATGCGGGACTCGATCCTGGGACTCCAGGATCATGACCTGAGCCGCAGGCAGTCGCTTAACCAACTGAGCCACCCAGGCGCCCAAGATTAAGAGTCTCTTAACAGTTTGTCTCCCTCTCTGGTTTCGTCTTATTTCGTTTTTTCTTCTCTTCCCCTATAATCCTCTGCCTTATTTCTTAAATTCCACACATCAGTGAGATCATATGATAATTGTCTTTCTCTGATTGACTTATTTCGCTTAGCATAGTACCCTCTAGTTCCATCCACATTGTTGCAAATGGCAAGATTTCACTTTTTGATGGCTGCATGATATTCCTGTATGTGTGTGTGTACACCGCATCTTCTTTATCCATTCATCTGTTAATGGACATATGGGCTCTTTCCATGGTTTTTTTGTTTGTTTGTTTGTTTTAAGATTTTATTTATTTTTTGACAGAGAGAGACAGTAAGAGAGGGAACATAAGCAGGGGGAGGAGGAGAGGGAGAGCAGGCTTCCCGCCGAGCAGGGAGCCCAATGCGGGGCTTCATCCCAGGACCCTGGGATCATGACCTGAGCTGAAGGCAGACACTTAATGACTGAGCCACCCAGGCTCCCCGCTTTCCATAGTTTTTGCCAAGCAGTTCTACATTTAGTGAAGCTCTGGGCCCGATACTGAGTGGGGCCCAGGGGACAAGGTGGTGAACAGGATGGAGCCTTACCCTTGGTGGGCTCACCGGGAGGGAGACTGAACAAATCTCAAACTTACCCTTTATTTACTGTGGCAGGGGTCTAGAGAAGTGCAGTGGGAGGTCCCAAATGAGTTGGGACTTTGACTTGGGCCCTAGAGTTCAGGAAGGCTTTGATCAAGCAGCAGACTCAGAGCAGAGCTTCAGGTGTCATAGGTGTTGAACTCTGGAGCCAGAGAGGACCAGGGCGCTGATCTCAGCTTGTGAAGCCCGGGCGAGCCATGGTGCTGCAGAGCCTTGTTTCCTTCTCTGTACTGGGGAGGCAGGAATCGCCGGGTGCCTGGTGGTATTGTGCAGCATTGGTGGGCTGGTACCTCTGATGGTGCCCGGCACATGGCTGCTGGGAAAGGGGAATGTTGGCAAGTGATTGGGCTCAGGAGCCTCAGGCCTGTGGGACAGCAACCTGGGCCAGGGTATCGGGACCCCCACTCCCAACCCCAACAGTCATGGCTCCCTTGCTTGCTCCCACCTAGCGGCGGCCTGGTACTCCTGAAGGTGAAGGTAAAGGTCCGGCGGTACCTGCGGGAGCAGCGGACAGTGCCCATTTTGTTTGCGTCTACGGTACAGCGCCACCCTGACAAGACAGCCTTGATCTTTGAGGGCACAGACACCCGCTGGACCTTCCGCCAGCTGGATGATTACTCCAGCAGCGTGGCCAACTTCCTGCAGGCTCGGGGCCTGGCCTCAGGCGACGTGGCTGCTCTCTTCATGGAGAACCGCAACGAGTTTGTGGGTCTGTGGCTGGGCATGGCCAAGCTGGGTGTGGAGGCCGCACTCATCAACACCAACCTCCGGCGGGACGCTCTGCGCCACTGCCTGACCACTTCCCAGGCCCGGGTCCTCGTCTTTGGCAGTGAGATGGCCCCAGGTGAGCCCCGGGGATGTGTCAGGCAAGGAGGCCCATAGGATCTTGCACAGACCACAGCCCCCCTCCAGGCCTGGGGGAGGCTGCGTGGCTCAGAGGTGAGGGCCATGAGCCCTGGTGTCAGACAGCCTGGGCTCTGCCACTTGTAAGCTGGAGATCCTGAGTAAGAGACTGGAAATGTCTGTGACTCAGTTACCTCACTGTAGTACCTGCCACCTATCATTTTCAAGAAGATACTTCTCCCGAAGCGCTAACAAAATGGCTAATGCTAGGTGAGCCTGCAGATATAATGGTAACCATTCTTGGTGACTAATTAGGCCTCATTTGCCCCCTCTATAAAATGAGAACAAGAATGTATTCTCTGGTCTCCTGCAGAGCTTATGTTTTATTTGCTGCCACGATGAGCACTGACTGAGTCCTGAGCTTGGTGCTTTACAAAAGCAGCTCTCATCTTCACAAAGCCTGGTGAGCTAGGGATGGCCGTCTTGGCTTTATAGATGAGGAGACAGACGTTCAGAGTGGTGTGAGGAACTCACTTAGGGTCACGCCGAAGCAGGATTTCATCCTGGGCTTGACTGCTCTGGTGTGGGATGATGGCAGGGAAGGTCACTGACATGCAGGGATGGGGAGAGGAGGGAGGGTTGGACAAATCCAGAGGGAGGCAAAAGTTGAGCCAAGGGGGGCAGGACTGGCCTGTGCCCAGCACAGGTGAGTATCTAGACCGCTGTCATGCCCAGAGGAGCCTGAGGGAAGGTTCCCACTTTCTGAAGAGGCTGGAGGCTGCTGACCTCTGACCCTCCACACCTCCCTTCTAACCGGCCCCCACAGACGAGCAAGGTACAGTGTATAAGGACGCAGGCCTTGGCATGCGGTAGAGCTGGCTTGGAGTCCCAGCTCCAGCACATTCTAGCTGTGAGCAGGCCCTCCCATTCTTGGAGCCTCATCTTCTCACCTAGGATCTGCTGTTGGTGCCTACCTCCTGGGCTGTGTGAGCAGGAGCGCGCATGTAAGGAACCCACTGTGTAGTTAGCCCGCAGCTAGGGAGCTCTTGCTCCCATCAGCGTCTTATAACGAGGACCTAGGTGCTTCACCCATCTTCCTCCCTGCACACAGCCAGTCTCCCCTGACAACACGCCAGCCCTGACATGAGCAGAGGTCCTGGGGACATGAGGTTCCCTGCCTCCCTGCTGATTGGCCCTGTCTCCCCTGCAGCCATCTCTGAAATCCAAGCCAGCCTGGACCCCTCGCTCAGCCTCTTCTGCTCTGGCCCCTGGGAGCCCAGCACGGTGCCCGCCGGCACGGAGCACCTAGACCCCCTGCTGGAAGATGCCCCCAAGCACCTGCCCAGTCGCCCTAACAAGGGCTTCACAGGTGGGCCTCCAAACCCACAGAGGGATTCTCAGATGGGCCCTGGACAGAGCACTGGCCCCAGGGCCAGAGGCCTGGATTCTTCTGCAAACTTGCCGTGTGACCTATAGTGAGTCCTGTCACCTCCCTTTTTCCATCCAGGAAGATGAGGACCGTGACCATGGGGTCACTCTGAAGGCTAAACAGCCAATGTGTGTAAAGATGCCAGGCACAGTGCCAGGTACTTAGGAGCTCACAAAACCTGATCCTTTGACTTGTTGAACAAGCCTTCATTGCTGCCCAATCATGAGCAGCAGGATCATGTGGAACCCAGGAAACCACTGGGTCTGAATTTCGGCTGGGGTTGGGCCAGGGGCTAGACCCTCTAAATATTCACCCAGCACTTGTTCGGTGCCAGCCCCTGTCAGCCTGGGGTCCTCTCTCTGCACTGGGCTGCCCTACTTCCCCATCCCCTCCTCCCCCATCCCCTCCTCCAGGCAGCCTTCCGACCCTGCAGCCTCTCCTGTACTTCACCCTGTCCTGTGGAGCCCCCGGTTTGCTGCACTGGCCAGAAGCTCGGAGCTGGCGCTGAGTTCATGCCTCAGCCCCACCACTTCCCTTGTGACCCTGAGCCCCTGAGCTGCCCTCTCTTTGAACCTCGGTTCCCACAGCCATAACAGTGGGGCTGGTAACAGAATCGATTTTATGGAGTGGCTTTGGGGTTTGACAAAGATACAGTGGAAAGCCGGGGTGTGACAGGAAGTGCTCAGGAACCAGTCTTTGTTGGCCTCGTGGTCATTTTATCTCTGTCATGTGTGAATTTTGTCTCCCGGGTGCTTTTGTAAGTGATTCAAGAGCAGGCTCTCTGGAGGGGTCAGCCTGGAGTGCCCATGCCCAGCCCAGAGCTGGAGTCAGCAGGCATCCAGAGGGCGTGAGGTGATTGATACGTGACATGCAGTCATCCCACACGTTCTTGGCCTCCTTAGAACCTCCTACCAGGGGGCTGGGGGGGTGGCTGAGCCTCTGCAGAAACGAACGTGACAGTCCCCCATCTGGGCCACAGGGTGGGGTAAAGACATGCTCTGCGGTGCAGAAGCTCTGTGGACACTCTGTTCCCTGCAGCCAGTGTCTCCCTAGCCCTGGGCGGTCTCTTCTCACAACCGCTACTTGTCTGTTTTCTTCAGATAAGCTCTTCTACATCTACACATCGGGCACCACCGGGCTGCCCAAAGCCGCCATCGTGGTGCACAGCAGGTAAGGGGCAGGTGCTGGGGGGGGTGGGGCACGCTGGGGGGCAGAACCTGGGAGCCCCTCCTTCTGCCTCCCAGGGGCCTGCGAAGCGCTCTGTCTGTGCCCTCCCAGGTATTACCGCATGGCCGCCCTAGTGTACTACGGATTCCGGATGCGGCCTGACGACATTGTCTACGACTGCCTGCCCCTCTACCACTCCGCAGGTAACACAGGGCCCACCCTCTCAGCCTCCGGTGCCCCGGGGCCTCAGGAACCC